GAAATAAGTTCCAATGCCCTCGCGATCGCCGGCGTGGATTTCTCAAGCGCTTGTTGCACATAGGCCTCTTCACGAACAAACGTTTGAACGATCTCTAGGGGAGACATCTTGTCGAGATGCAAGGACCGCACGTTGCGCTGCTCTGTCGCTGCCCGCGCAATGACGCCGAGTCCCTGCTCGTTACTGCGCTGTGTCTTCGTCAGCGGGAGTGGGTCATTGGTTTGCGACCCGAGAGCAAACATGGCCGCTCCTATAGCGCCGTTAGTCGTTGAAGAGCGTTCGAGAAGCGTGCTTGAGACGGTTGCATTCGGCATTATCAACGCCAGTTTGTCGCGGAATTCCTGCTGATACAGTGGTTGTGTTGCGAAGACTGAGCCTGTTATGTGTACTGTGATGGCAGTGGGATTGCTGATGATGTTTTCGCCGACCTGCGAACCCAATATGCCTACGCTTTTCGCTGCTTGCGCAGCCAAGTGCGCTAACTTTTCTGTTCCCCTGGTCACGACTTTAGAAGCATGCTCCAGAGGCGCTAGGGCACGGAGCTTGTGCCGACCTGTGTTCCTTCGGTATAGCCTAAATCAGCGACAGTGTCTGGTGCTGCGCTAAAGGCGAAACGACAACCGTGTGTCGAGGGCCTTGTCTACAGCCGACAACTTTGAACATTCGTCATCACAGTGCTGTTGATCGCAAAGAACTACGTGCTTCAGAGCCCGGCGTGCGATCCAGTAAGCTGAGCCTTGGTCGCCCAGAACGTGGCCCTTGCCACCTGTGGAGCTCGTGGTGCCAGTGGTGTTCCGCGCGATGACGCAGGTGCCAGTGCCAGCACTGACGCAGATGCCGACGGAGTTCGGCTGAGGAAACGCTGTCGCCAACAGGGAATCCAGGTCAGAGCCGACAGATGTCTTCGCATTTGGCCAAATCGAAGATGCTATACGTGTCACGCGGTGCTTGTCTGACGTGGATGAGCAGCCAGCCAAGCACAATCCGACTGCTTGTATCTGGAACGACGGAACCAGTGATGCGAGTAGTCAGGAAAACTTCGCGGGGTATCTAGCGCAAACTTTTTGAAACATCTTTTGAAGTGAATTGTCGGGTTAGCTTTTAGTGCAATGCCTGCTGTGATCTGTGATGTTGAAGTGTTCGTGACGAAATGAAAGCACTCTAGTCTGATCCATTTAGACCCTTGGCGTGATTGTAAACAAGAATCAACAATCTTTTGTAATTATATTTCCCAATTAAGTGAAGCCTTGAATCCCAACCTTTGGTCTGATGCTTGACAACCGATGTATGGCTCGTTCGTCGTTCTGAATGTCAAATTACTGTATCCGCACCAAGTTCAAGTATTTTCTCCTAAATGAAACACATTTTCAGGGGATTCATGATCTTACTCAACTCGAATGAATTACTCGACAGGAATATTTCCTCGCTATTCTTTATAGTTACTGTTGTAAATCAGTCATCCTAAATACGTATGAAAAAAGGCTACTTGGCCTGCGCAGGATTATAAGACACGTTTTATATGGCTGAACACTATAGTTCAGCCATCGTCTACTACACTCTTATTCTCTTAAGGTCAGCTTATTCTTTCTATCGTGTGTTTTTCTTTAGTTCCGTTTATATTATTTTTCAATAAGAAGCTTGAAACTGACGCTGTTGATGATTTAGATTTGAAAATGCATTTATAAATTGAGTCTTTTCGCCTGAATGTATTTAGCAAGGAGTACTTGAAGATAACAGCTGCTGTATGTTTTGTCGAAGAATCCCTCGGAAGCCCGTTAAGAAGGAAATCGGCTCAGCGGAATCACGCTGAGCGGAAGTTATGTTCCATCAAAATTACTGGGAAAATTTCTTGGGGTTTGCTGCACTTTTTATGCTTCTGAATATTGCTTGAATAAAAATTGAAGACATATTCAGAACTACAGTCATCGCAAAAGGCGGAGAAAAGTTTCCTGAAGAAACTATTTCTGCAGAAGCTCATTTCCATCTCACAAAGGAACCCTGCGGGTATTTTTCGTCGAACGCTTCAATATCAGAAGGAAGAGAGGTAAATCGGGGTTATACTCTATTAGACTTCTCACATCATCTGCCCTTGGCAGCTTCTGCAGCTCCATCGCCAGCTGCTCGTCCGACAGCAAGCAAATGTTCGTCGGTCCCACGACACCCGCGTCGATCACAGCGTTGCAACGAACGTCATTTCCGGCCAAGTGGTCCGGAAATAATAACAGAGCCCACGACGTTTTGGTCCCACCACCTTCTACGCCCAACACCTTCATTTTTCTTCGTGGATGGATCACACACTGACTGAGTGACTGATGGTACGGTTAATATTGTGGAGTTGTCAGTTCGTCACACAGAGGATGACTGAGAGAGCAGCTGCATGTATGGAGACGGTTATTTACGTGATATTCGATATGCAAGTGAGGATGATGTGCATGATGACGACTTCATTTCCTGATCCCAGCGTTAGCAACACTCTGGGGAATTGTGTTTGTGCTCTGAAGGGTTTCATCAAATTGTGAAGGATAGAAACATCCTTTTATTCTGTTGAACCCCTTCAAGTTCAGCTTCAAGGGAAAAGCACAACACCTTACACAACCCCTCCAAAAACTAAACCCCTTTTATTCGTAAAAGTAAACCCTTTTGTTCCTTCTTAGTGTCCTTTAACATTAACCACTATAAGAACCGAAAGTTAAAAAAACATAATCAACTGTCCTACGACCACTTGGAGACAAGAGTTCATTTTGCTCAATTTGTCTTTCATTTCCTTTCAAAACACATCAAGTTACATATTTTACTATTTTCTCTTTTTTGTTCCAATAGAATAGCATCCAGACTCCAGAGAATTATAGGCTTATGGATGTTCCAGGGGAGAAGCCATTTGAGTTATCCAGGTTTCTAATGTATTGTCTTCAAGGGAATCAGGGCAGGGACATGGAAACATCTGACTGAAAGAGGTTTTTGACTTGGAAAAGTTTGATTTCATGAGGTTCAACTGCATAATTGAATGATCACAGTATCTGCATATTGAAACTACTCCATATTTATCCAAATATTGTGCACCCTCAATTAAGACATCAACAAGAATCTATTCATGTGAAATTGGTCCAAAAATATATCCAGGCATATAAGTGAGACACTCAACAAATTTTTAGTAATTCTAAAAGTGCAATAATTAAGAATGAAGACCCAAATTTGAATTGAGGTTGGGCCTGAATTCAACAAAGTTTCAATATTTTCATTATATGAAATTCATTTCATGAACATTTTCATTATAGTATGAAGTATAATACACACCTAAACTTATAAAACTTTAAAAAATTGACACCTTTCCATGATGTGCAACCTCTTCTTCCTCACAATTTGAAGGGAAAAATGGCATATGGTACTCAAGTATGTGTGGTAATAATTTTGATCAGTTTGAAATGTGCAAACGTTGAATGTGCGGCAGTGCAAATTCAATGTGCAGAAAAGTTCATCCTGCAAAGCATTCTCTACTTGGTGAGATTTGGGCAACTGCGTACATGATTTTAACAGGGAAGTTTTTTAAATGTCTTTGGTAATCCAATATCATTCTGATTGTTGTTCTCATATTTCCTTGTCCAATTTTCAAAATCACCATTTGCATTGACAAGAAAACGTTCTCCACAGCTTCTTTCTGTAAAACTGTCAATCATGAGCATGTACTTGCAACAGAGCAGGATAATCGCGGTATCTCTATACAACCCATCATACAAAAAAAGAAGCGAGACGCAAAAATGAAATGAAACCACAAGAATGAAATAAAATCGCGACTCGAAAGTAAAAATCCTGTGACCGGAGATCATATCATTTCAATGAGCTGTCTGTCTCACACGTCCGCCAAAAATCCTTCTGTCATCAATCAGCAAACCGGGTAACACTATTGTAAACACTTTCTGAATCATATATCGGCGATTTATTATTCCGGGAGAGGGCGTTAGAAAAATAGGGATCCTCTGACTCGGAAAGAAAAAGGAAACAAATTGAAAGAAACGAAGCCCACACCTTCTTCTCAGTAGAGAATGTCGTCAACGGGACAACAACGAAAATAAAGACAGAGCAATAACAAAGAGAATCAATAAGAGAAGAAATTCTCAATGAGAGGGAAGCGAGTAGGATTTTGGAGAGAGGGAGAGCCGATGATGGTACAAGCAGTTCGTATGAACCGCAAAGCAAAATCATTCATCGTCAAACCGGGGTGGTTTTCTTGAACGACGACTCGCGGCTGCTGGAGCTGTGCAGACGACACGAATCGCGGCGGTGTAGGTGTCGCTGCTCGGCCGCGCGGTAGCAACAGTCGTCCATCAGCTCGTCGAGCACGACGTTGCCGTCGTCAGTGTCGAACGTGTCACGACGATGGAACTCGCGGGAAAAGTCTCGATTTCTGCTCATGGTGTCGCCGCCACAACTCGGCGTGGACGCCACGTCGGCGAAGGTGGACACGGTGTTACAGGTGAGGTCCCGAGGGATGTAGTAGTCGCCGCCTGCGGTGTCGGCGTCGTCGTCGTCGTCGTGAGGGTGGCAACGTCGGCCAATGCTGAGAAACGAATCATTTATACCCTTGCAGTACACTATCTGGAAGAAAAAGCTCGTAAAATTCAATTGAAAAATTTGCAGCAGCAGCTATTGCGTTACAATTTTTGAACATGACAAGCGATTAGCGTTCGAGAGGCGACACCTGCGTATTTCGAACAAAAGTTATTCTGGAGATTGCTTAGATTCCACGCAAGATGCTGTATCTCTTTCTGTACCGTCCTTTGAAGGAAATCCCTGAGTCTGGGATCAGTTAGTTAGTTACATTCTTAAAGATGGATGCTTTCAAAATATTGTCTGAATATTTTTATACAATATTGCAGTTATTTACCCAACTGAGTCAAACCAGCTCAAGTCTAAAGCCTCCGGAATTTAATTCCGAGTGAATTTCTGGCCAATTCCTAAAAGTTCAAAACAATTTAATCCTTTTCAGGCCAAATCTTTGAAGCTTTTCCATTACCAAATGTGTGCAAAATTTTAGAAAACATGTTCCAGGAAATAAAATAGAGGAAAATGATTTTCTTTTTGCTCTCTGCACAAGGAGTGATAGGCATCTTATTATTCCTGCAGAATGCTGGCAGAGGACATCTATTTATGAGGAAAAATTATCAGCAATAGGTTCAAAAATTAATTTCCTTCCAGTTGGACTTACAATAACAGTTACAAACTTGGAAGTCCACATTTACAAATTCACAAGCTCACATATAAAAGAATGTTCTTCATGTTTGAGAAAAGTGTATGACCACTCAGCTCCATTATTAATCACCCTCCCTGAATGTGTCCACAAATAAATTAGTCTAGAAATACTGTGCTGTAATAAAGTCTTGTATGTGACAAGAAACGTTTGTGTACTTGAAATAGCTGTCATACTAAAAATGTTTCATAGCATTATTTTCAAACAATAACTTGAGATTTATTTAAACATCAGATCTGCATATCAACAATTGAGTACAGTACTGTCTTCATGTTCTGGCATTCTCACATTTTCTTATTCATTGAAAAATTTAGTGATCTTAAAAAAAAAGAGTCAGGCTAAAAACTTGGCATTCCATCAATTGCACCAATCTCATCAGCATTCTGGTGAGAATTATGAGTGGAACCACGTGGAAGCATGTAAATAAAACTTTATTACGAGCTTACTACTGCTGTTGGTGCGTCGGCGGCGTGCGGGCAGAGTGCTGTTGATGATGCAACTGGCGGAGGTGCTGCTGGCGGTGATGTGGCGCCTGTTGCTGCTGCTGCTGCGTCAAGCACGTGGACGCGTGATGGTGCACGGGGGCGTCCGAATAGTGCAGGTCATGCTGGGACTTGGACCGACACGGCAGCATGAGTGACATGGGCGGTCGTGGCGGCGTGAGTCCATCCGCCACGCAATCCGCGTCGCCCCACGACGACGACGGCGGCGGCGGCGGCAGATGACCAACACCCCCACCAGTGCCGCCGCCGCCTCCTCCTCCTCCTGTGCCTGCTGGCGGCGGCGGTGGCGGCGGATGACGTAAGCAAATGTGCAACGGCGGCGTGTGGCGGTCCGGGTACATGAGGTACTCGAGGCGGCCCAGGGAGTTGGTGTCTCGGCCGTGGGACGCCAGATTGTTGCCAGTGGCGCCGCCGTAGCGGGGCGACAGCAGGAGTTGCTGCTGGTGCTGCTGTCGGCGCCGCAGGACCAGGGAGCCGCCTCTTGATCTGCTGCGCTGTTGTTGTTGGTGGTGGTGGTGGTGGTGCTGCTGCTGGTACTGCTGGTACTGCTGCTGGTGGGCATGGTGCTGCTGTTGCGCCTTCTTCATCCATACCGCGGCCACGGTCGGCTACATCTCCTTCTACCGCTTACACGGTCTGTGGAGCGACCGGTACTTCGGTTGGTGATGATCTTCTTTCGACATCGGTATGGACTTCTTTATCTTTTTCAAGTAGTATAAGAGATAATAAAAATAATGCAATTTAGCCGAAAATGAAAAAAAATTTCCACTTTATAAAATATTTTTCTTTTTAGTACAAAAAAAGGTGATGGGACCTGCCATGAGTCCCATGTGGGGATCAAGCTTAAAATTCAAATATTTGACAAAACTTTCAATTTAAAAATTGAAAAAAATGTCTGAAGCCTATCTACATGTAAATGAAGTTAAATGACACAAAAATGGGCATGCAGGAAATTTGGCAGTTGATGGGTTAAACAATTATGCAGGTGGTACCCCACAGTTAAATTTTAATCGATTGCCAGGGTAGAGTCAAATTGCAAGACACTGTCAAATGCCAGGTTTTCTATAGTACAGATGGCACCTTGAAATTTGACCTCCTTGCAATTTGACCATCCCACAATTGAATGGTTCAATTTGTTTTGTGGTTGACTCTCAATTTGACCTCTGCCAAGCAATTTGACATGCAGTATGTGGAGAGAAATAAAATTTCAAATGCCATGTAGAAAGCATGCCATTTGTTGTGGTTGCATTTTGCATTTTGACCCTAGTCCAGCAATAGATTAGGGCTGATAATTGCAAGGTACCACCATCATAATGGATGTCCCTGTATGTGCACCACACATTGAAGTGATATACATGTTTCGACCATTGTGAATGCTCACAAGCAACAAGTAAAGCATATTTATCAATCATTCAATAGACCTGGAAGAAGAATGAGTCCTCAAATGGGGAGAATGTGAAAACAATATTTTGCAACTGTGTTTCTTCTCTTCAGCTGTTTGTTAGGCAAAAAAGAAGAAAAGTAAATGATGAGTGGGCTGTACTTATATATTGCTCATGTGTTGAAAAGTTTTCCACTGAGCAAAAAAAAAAGTTCTGCAGACCAGTT